AACGCGAGGAGGGCCCAAAAGGTCGAAAAACGCGAAGTGCACCTTCGGGCCCAGGTTCTCACCGGGCCCCGCGACGCTCGGCGCCGAGGATGCACGCGAGCTCGCATTAATGTATAATTAACCGGTCGCCTTGAAGATGTTATCGCCCTCTGACAAACCTCCTTATCGGGGCCCGGGAGGCCTCTGCTCGTCCTCTACATCCTTACTCCTCTCGCGTGCCCGGAGTACCCCTCCGCCATTTTATTTATCATTTCATAATTTATTTGTCATTTAATATTTTATTTATCATTTCGTATTTTATTTATCATTTCGTATTTTATTTATCATTTCATAGTTTATTTATCATTTTATATTTTATTTGTCATTTAACCCCTTAACTTGTGCGCTCGAGATAATTCGAGAACGCTAAACAGGCCAAACTGTGCACACTCGCGATAATTCGAGCGGCGTTGTATTTTATGCTACTATAATTTTTCACATTTGAATATAATCGAGAATTTTATTTTTTTGCCAAGACAATGTTCTAGTGTTTTNTATCATATCATATTTTATTTATCACAACATTTTATTTATCATTTCGCAGTCAGGGATAATTTCGAGGGTCCTTCTCTCTTCGTCGGGGAGATTCGAGGCGCGGTAAAAGGACTCTCGTCCTGTACTATAGCCAAGCAGGAGGAAAATGCAAATTCGCCCTCGATTTTCGCCTAATCCCGGAAGGAGTCGAGAAGGGGCGAAGCCAGAGAGAGAGAGAGAGAGAGAGAGAGAGAGAGAGAGAGAGAAGGAGATTCCGGGGAACTTTCCGGGAGCGGTTAATATGCACCTCCGATGCACCGGTTAACCTCGCGGGGGCCCGGAAGATCCTGGAGTTCTGCCCTACCAGTGGGAGGCAGGGGGGGAACTAGTTGCATAGAGAAAACTAGTTTAAAATAAGTTTCGAATAAGGCCGTCCTCCCCTCGTATCGCGCGGGGAGATCTCTTCTCTCCGTGTATATAATTTACCGTCGGGTAGACGGTGTCGTAACGGCGCCCCGACTTTTCGCAGGGCACCGCTTTCTCCCCCCGTTGTTTTTTTTTTTTTCCTCCCTCCGCATCATCCGTTTTTCTTCACCCCGCTTTACGGAAACTCGGCCCGTTTTCTACGGTCGGCGTGAAAAAAGTCAGAGTAAATCCACCCTTTCGGTGCCGTCAAAAGGGGTACCTCAAAATGGCCGCAGCGAGGTGTCGAGCGTCGATACCCGACCTCGCCAGGAGGCGGCATCTCTATCGGCCTCTCTCTCGCTCCCACGCGGCGGCGCATCCCTCCCTCTCTCTCGCTCCCACAGGCGGGCCATACCCCCGGGGCCCCGGCTCTCTTATTGCGGCGGATATTTAATTCAGACTCGTCCGACTAGGCCGGCTCGACTCGTCGGAGGGGGACTGGAGGAAAGGGGCCCTCTCCTGCCCTGCCCCCTCCCCCCGGGAGGTGCAGCCGGGCGTCTGGAGGATTGATGGCGTCTAGATGCAAATGCAGTCAGTCCGACACGCAACCAACGTATCCACCTACCGACGCCTTATGCCAGTTAACGCCTTACAGCTTAATAATCCCGCCCCCCTCGGCCCCTCAGAGGATGCATCGCGACCGTCTCTCTCCCTCTCTATCGGGGCCCCAACCCCCCCGGACCCCGGAAATGGGCCCAATGGGCCGACCTTGGGTCCCCTGAGATCTTTCGACCGAGCGCCTCCGCGGATCGATCTTTCTTCCTTTTTTGACTGCCGCTTCCGGATCTCCCGGGGGCGGAGGACACTGCGGCCCTTCCGCGGGGACGACGGACGCGGAAACGCGACGGGCCCTATCCGGGCCCCCGGTTTCCGTCTCGCGTATCGCTAAACGCCGAGCCGCGCCGCTTGTCACTTTAATTAGAGGAACGTCGCCCGGAGTAATTACACGGCCGAAGTGCGGACCGTTTGTCCGCTAAAGCAGCCGCAATTAGCGACGCGCGCGCATGCTAATTGCGCAATTTTCCCGCCAAGTCGTCGCGATTATTGCGCCGTTCACAATGCCCCGTTTACGGGGGGGGAGGAGGAGGAAGGGGCTCTTGTCCGCGATACGACGGGGTGATAGCGCCGCGTTTTGCGGCTCTTTCCGCATGCGGTTTCCGACCCCCGTGAGATCTTTTGAGTTCTCTTTTTATTATTATTTTTTTTTTTATTATTTCTTGTCGCGATCTCCGCTGGAAAATACGGAGGGGGGCGGGGTGAAAGCGGACCCAGAACCGGAAAGAGCGGGCCCCTTTCGGACTCGGCACCGCTCGGGGGGCAAATTTGTAGGCGTGGGCCCCACGACTCGGGGAGTGACTCTCATTCGGGCGCATCGGGCTGTAATTTCGAGTTTAATTGCATGTTATTTCGGGTGGTACGCCGTGGGTGCCCGGGCTTATTAAACGCCTTGAGCCAGCACGCCATTTCGCGTTTTGGAGCGCAGCCTCCAAGGGAACCGCTTACTCTCGCGTACCGTCGCGAAGGTTATCTTAGGAAATTCGGCGAAAATACTTTCCCGACGGGGGAAAAATCGGGAAAAATTCTGGGGCCTAGCTCGAACCTCGTCGATCGAGGGGAGGTGGTTCGGATTGACGATCGGATCGATGAGAGGGGAATTGATCGACCCCTAGGTGTCGCGACGGGGAGTGATGGAGCGCAGAGGAACCGCTTCCCTTTCGAAATTCGGCGAAAATACTTTCCCGGCGGGGGAAAAATCGGGAAAAATTCCAAGACCTAGTTCGAACCTCGTCGATCGAGGTGAGGTGGTTTGGATTGACGATCGGATCGACGAGAGGGGAATTGATCGACCCCGAGGTGTCGCGACAAGGAGTAATGGAGCGCAGAGGAACCGCTTCCCTTTCGAAATTCGGCGAAAATACTTTCCCGACGGAGGAAAAATCGGGAAAAATTCCAGGACCTAGTTCGAACCTCGTCGATCGAGGTGAGGTACTTCGAATCGGCGATCGGATCGACGAGAGGAGAATTGATCGACCCCGAGGCGTCGCGACGGGGAGTAATGGGGCGCGCGCGGAGGAACCTCTGGGAGCGCTCCTGGCGGTAAGAAAAATCGGATAAAATTCCTGGGGAGTCCTGGAAGGACGTGGATAAATGCCTCGAGATCCTAATTCGAAATCGGCTCGCTAACCGGACGAAATAATCCCCGGCCACCGTTTACTCGAGCCGAGGCGCCGAGTCTCGGTCTCTCTCGCCGGGCGGCGTATCGATCCCCGCTTATTACCGGAATATAGATTATCAATAATAAGCGGCTCGACGGATGCCCGTCGGTGCGGGTTTCAGTTACGGGGGTGCCCGCCAAACGGCCCGTGGGACCGGGCACACCGGATAAATCGCATCTAATTACGAAGATTAATGCACCGGGGCCCCGGGTTTCCTCGGGGCCCGTTCGCGCCGAAGGCGAGGCGCCTTAAGGCCCGGCTTCGGGCGAAACGCGGGCCCCCCGATTCCGCCCTTAAGGGCCCCGATCAATATTCATCGTTCGTGCTTAACGGAAGGAAGAAAAAGCGCGAGAGGGGCCCTCCTTAAAAAAGGACGACCCCAAGGGGTACGGATCTCCGTCCCTCGTTAAAGTACACGCGAGGCCCCGAAATTTCGGCAAATCGATCCTCTCGGAGGAGGTGATAACCTCCTCGATTACTAAATCGAAAGTTTCTCATCGACCCCAGCCGTCGGGATGGCTCGGGGAGACGCCGATAAATCCGCGAGTTATCGCGATCGAATTAGTCCTGCCCCCCGCGGGGGATAAATCTCCCGGAAATCCGAAATCTAAGAACGCCGCTCTTATCGAGGCCGCTCTTCCCTCCACCCCCCGCCGATTGTCTCCAACTCGTATGTATGCTAATGTGCCCCGGTCACCCCGACAATTGAATGGAAGATCCGGAATTATGATTGACTCTCCTTCGGTCTGACGCGTTATCTCTCTCTCTCTTTCTCCTTGGAATAAAATACCACGAGGGGTGAATCTGCTTTCCCGAATTTTTTTTTCTCTCTTTTTTTTTCTTTCCACTCTAATCTTATATTCAGTTTCGCCCTGACACGATTTTCGCGTTAAACGACGAGCGAAGTACACTGTTAATAAGAATATTATAATTTTATAACATTTTCCGTGGTGGTTTCATTCGGACATGGTATACTAATTTTGTGACGTGTTTTCAAATGAACTGTATAACGTGTATTATTAATTTAGTACGTGCGTGTAATACATTTATAATATATGTTGTAAATTTGGGTGGGGCAGAATTTCATGTTAAACGTTTTTTTCTTCTGCAAACTTAATAATTTGACACATGTTCCGGGCATGTTCGAGGACGATTTTAGAGACAGCCCTACCTTATACGCCGAAAGAAATCATTTTGCAATTATCGGGGTATCGAACATCACGGATAAGTAGCAATTACGTTGTCCATGAAGCTACCGGAGTCTTCTATTGACTGTAAGAATTTTGTTAAATATTATTTAATTATTTTTGGGAGTTAAGAATGTAGTTACGATGTTTCTCCGCCAGTACCACCGACACTTGTCATCTTTCGATTAAATTTCATTAAAAATAAACCTATGTAAACGGTCATAAAATTAAAAATTCATGTACAATATTCCCTCGTGTAGAAATCTCGTTACAATGCTTCCCCGCCAGTACCACCGACACTTGTCATCTTTCGATTAAATTTAATTAAAAATCAACTTACGTGAAAGATCATAAAATTAAAAACCCATCCAAAAGATTTGCAAACAATGCGTACCAAATGACTGTCGAATATCAAGTTTATAATTTTCCTCCGCAATTACCCAAGATTACAGACGCGGTGTTATAAAAATGTAAATTTCCTTAGAATTTTATAATAAATGTATTCTGATTCACTGTAAAGACGTCAAATTTATAATTTCACTGCAACCTTATGTACTAAAAGTGTATGGAATTTAATGAATTTCGTTAACAGTTTATTGATTCTCGATTCGCGTTTCAGGGTGCGACGGCGAGTCGGACGAGGGCGGGAGCAAGCGACGGAGGAGCAGGACCAACTTCAACAGCTGGCAGCTGGAGGAGCTGGAGAGGGCCTTCCTGTCCAGCCACTACCCCGACGTGTTCATGAGAGAGGCCCTGGCCGTCAGGCTCGAGCTGAAGGAAAGCCGGGTCGCGGTGAGTCCCAATCCTGAGGGCAAAAGAGGCCCCAAAGAGGTTCCCACGTCCTTTCCTCCACCCTGGGATCCTGCCAGGACCAAAAGCCTCCCAGCTTCCGTCGGGACGTCGGGGGTGGACTTCTCGATAGGGACGATAAGGAGGGAAATTTAAGAGGATATGAAATAGACAGCCTATATATATGTATATGTATACATGTATGTCTGAGAAGTCAAATCGTCGGGGAAAGTACTCTCCGAATTGGGTGTACCGATTTGTTTGAAATTTTCCCATGTGAATATGGAGGCCCTAAGGTAGATCTTGAAACTCATGAAATTTCATTTTTCATCGAAAATTTATTTATTTACCGTTGACGGGAACCAACGTGGCACGGTCAGGGTATGTTTTCGATGTTTCATGCCTCTTGGAGGCTTAGAATCGAAAATCAAGAGTCTCAGGACCTTGGGGGTGGACTTATTGATAGGGATGATAAGGAGGGAAATTTAAAGAAATTTAAGATGGATTTTACTTTATCGACGTCGATTAAATTTCTTAGCGCCTTTCATATCCTCTTCAGATAAGGAGGAAAATTTAAAGAAATTTAAGATGGATTTTACTTTATCGACGTCGATTAAATTTCTTAGCGCCTTTCATATCCTCTTAAGGGGACCGGGTCACGGCGAGGGGGCTGACGCTCGACAGACGTCGGGGGTGGTTTCGGGACTTTCGACCTTTCACCCCGAGGCCTCTTTCGGCCCCCCTCGGGGGCAGTTAGTCCATCTGCTCGACGGCGGGTGCGGTTGCGTATGTAATGGACGCCTACATAAGAGGCATGTAATACATGCGCGAGGAGGGTGCGCCGTGAAGTCGAAACCCAGGGATGCCTTAGATCGACGAGGAATTTATTTTCCATCCACGGCAATGCAAAAAAATTCACTTAACCGAAGTAATATCACTTTTAATTGTCGCATCCCATTTATTCCAGACTTCGTGAACCCTAATAGCACAGAATAATTTCTGTATATTTCTTTGCAATCTTTGCTAAATATCTCAAGCGACAGATTTTTCAAGATCTCTTGTAGATTTCAATCGAAGATATCTGAAATATTTCTCAATAACATATTTAATTTCCTTAATTTATAAATATATATAGAAATTATGTATCTTACTTTATGAACATATCGTGAAAATGCATTTCTTACTTCACGACATTATATAAGTAATATCGCTTCGAATTGTCGCATTCAATTTATTCCAATTTGCGTCAAGAAATAACCCTAGTGAGGGGTGGTTCACCCCTTAATTTAATTTTTTCTTTTAATTGAGAAAATTATATTTTTAACTTCTCGTTATGAGAAAGCTTTTCCAGGTGGATTGGTTAAAAAATATTACCTTCTTGTGGGTGAAACTGCCAAATTGTCCTTTGACATGCCTTACCTTGGATGGTGGTTTCACCCCCTTAAAATGTTTAATGGCAGATAAAAAAAAATACGTGTCGCTTAGTTTTTAATCTACAATAACATATTATAAAAGAAATAAAATCGGAGAGATCGACGTGGGATGCCTTCCTTGTCAGAATAAGGTGGAGGGGTTCACGGGGTCCTTCATGGGGCACCTCGCATTTCGGCTCGACATGCCTTACCTTGGATGGTGGTTTCACCCCCTTAAAATGTTTAATGGCAGATAAAAAAAAAATACGTGTCGCTTAGTTTTTAATCTACAATAACATATTATAAAAGAAATAAAATCGGAGAGATTGACGTGGGATGTCTTCCTTGTCAGAGTAAGGGGGTTCATGAGGTCCTTCATGGGGCACCTCGCATTTCGTATTCCCGCGTTCGGATACGCAGGGTGGAGGCGCATAGGGTCGAGATTACAGTAACGGGTGTCACCCTTCCGCGGACGGGGCCCGGCTGCTTGTCCCGGTGACAAGGGAGATCCGGGGCTTGATAACAGTGATAACCCGGGAGATGTCACGGGTGTGTCATCCGTGGGGCGCCCCATGGAGAGATTAGATAAAGGGGGCGAGATGCGACTCGGGATAACCTCTGATATGGGGATAAAGAGGGGCCCGTCGACGGGCCCGTCGACTTGGGGCCCAACGGTGGCTGCCGACGACGGATTTCGGGGGACCGATAAAGAGTGATAACAGATGGTTAAGGGCGATAAGGACGGGTGTTTGCTCTCAACCTGTCGCGCGCATCGACGGGGATTATAGTAAAGTAGAGGATATCGTACACTGTTAAGAAAAATTCTACGAATGTTATATCATTTTTTATAGAAGTACTATTCAGACGTGGTATACCAAAATCATAACGTAGTATGAAATAAAATATATAACATGAGTTATGAATTTAGTACCCACGTATGTAATAAAATTATGAAGGATATTAGTAACTTTATGACGTACGATCTTCATAATTTCAGGACATTCGTATGTAGTGAAATTATTAAAAGAAAGAAATAGGTAATAATTTTATAGTAATTTAAGAAGACACGTTTACAAAGTTATGAAACATTATACAATGAAAAACTCGTCTCAGAAATTTAATTAGTAGACTAAAAACTAAGCGACACGTATGTTTTTATATCTGCCATTAAATGCTTTAAGGGGGTGAAACCACCATCCAAAGTAGACCTGCGACCCCTCACCCCTTAGGCTCACCCCTTAATTTTTTCTTTTCCTTTAATTGAGAAAATTATATTTTTCATATCTCGTTATGAGAAAGCTTTTCCAGGTGGATTGGTTAAAAAATATTATTTTCTTGTGGGTGAAACTGCCAAATCGCCCCTTGACATGCCTTACTTTGGATGGTGGTTTCACCCCCTTAAAGTGTTTAATGGCAGATAAAAAAAAAATACGTGGCGCTTAGTTTTTAGTCTACTATGACATATTATAAAAGAAATGAAATCGGAGAGATCGACCTGGGGAACCTTCCATGTAAGACAATCGTGCAGGACGATTTGGCCGATTTGGACGATTTGGCCACCCCCTTAAAGTGTTTAATGGCAGATAAAAAAAAAATACGTGTCGTTTAGTTTCTAGTCTACTATGACATATTATAAAAGAAATGAGAGATCGACCTGGGGAACCTTCCATGTAAGACGATCGTGCAGGACGATTTGGCCGAATCGAGGGGTAGGAGGGGTATCCCCTCGTCTTCGCCCTCCTCGGCACCATAAACGCGAGGCCTAATGGCGGCTCGTTGCGGCGCCGACTCGCGGGTTAATTCCGCATCCCATCAGACCCGTCCCGCGAGATGCGCTCCCGGAGATACCTCGTTGCGGCCGGTTGAAACGCGGCCGCGCTTATGCGTTCGCGTGTCTCCGTACGGCTGCGATTCGCCACGTAATTACAATGGCTCCTTTCTCATTAGAGGGAGCGGGGCATGTCCGAAGAGGGGTAGAGGAAGAAAAAAAAAAGAGAGAGAGAGAACGCGCGAAGATACGCTTCTGCGGGGGTTCAGCGGCGGAAATCCGCACCCCAGGACGGAGCGTACGTGTGCGGGGCATTCGCTCGTTGGCCACATCTGGCGGTTCAGGGGAGGGGTGCAAGGGGGGGTCTATTGATCTTCGGCTCGGCCTCGGACGGCGCCGCCTCCTCCAGGGTCTCCTCTCTCTCCTCCTCCTCCTCCGGGAGCGGGTCCTTCCTTCCTCTCCCTGGACTTCCATCCCCTAGGTAGAGTCCACCCAGGGTCTCCTCGAGTGTCCTCTTCCTTCCACGAGTGTCGGGGCGCTTGGAGAACGCTCGCTTGACCGGGATCCCGGACCTGGGTTGCAGGTCTGGTTCCAGAACCGGCGGGCCAAGTGGCGGAAGAAGGAGCACACGAAGAAGGGCCCAGGAAGGCCGGCCCACAACGCCCATCCGCAGAGCTGCAGCGGCGAGCCGATCCCTCCGGAGGAGCTGCGGAGGAAGGAGCGGGAGAGGCGGCAGAAGAAGCTGCTGAAGACGCTGGAGCGGCAGCAGCGGAAGTTGGCGGCGAAGGTAAGGACAAGGAGGAGATTTCCGGGCCCCAGGATGCTGAGGGTGGTGGTGGTTTCTGCTCGCAGGGCATCTCGGTGGACCTGTCGACGCTGCGGGCCGAGTGGGAGTCCAGGAGCGCGGCGGCAGCAGGGGGTGGACCGGGGGGCCTGGCCCACCAGAGCGGGGCCTTCTCGGGGCTGGGGCCCGGGGACGGCGGCGTCTCCGGTTCCGGCAACGAGGCCAACGAGGAGATCGACGTGGTCGGGGGCCTAGACTCGTGCAGTGAAAGCGGCAGCGAGAGGGTCGACTCGGCGGCGGACGGCTCGGTGGACGGGGAGTGCTACCCCAGGGTGTCCCCGGCCGACCCCCTCCAGGCGGATCCTCGACGGGCCCACCACGTGGGCCTGGACCTGAACCACCAGCAGGGCATCCACCACTGGGGCCTCAGTCTGCTGGAGCGGCGCCGCGAGCTCGTGGGCCTGGGCGCAGGCGGGCTCCCCGGTCGACTGGGCCCGGGTCCCCGGGAGGACCGACCCAAGGACGACGAGGCCCAGAGCGGCAGCATCGACCTGTCGGTCAAGGGCCGCGAGGAGCGTCGCAGGCTGAACCCCTTCTCCATCGAGAGCCTGCTGGGGAACGGCAGGCCCGCGACCCCCGGCTCCTGTTCGCCGATCCTCGACGGCCGGGAGTCCTCCACCCCCGGGGGCCGCACCCCCACCCCGCCGACCTCCATCCCTACCTCGCCTGCCACCACGTAGTCGGGCCCCGGGGACCTGGGGGCGATTCCCGGACCTCTCTATACGTAAGGTCCCTTCGGGACCGAGGCCCGGGCCCCGCGTCCTGGGCCTCATCCATATCCACGGAGACCGGCGGGGCGATATCAGTGTCCACATATCCGACCCGGCTGAGACTCAGTCGGGACCCGTCCGTCCGGATTACTCGCGAATCCCGCTCGTTTCCCCGCCAGTCTCGGGCCCCGGCGGGAATGGGCCCGTCGGAAACAAGTGCAATAATTATCGAGAGCGGACCCGCGGGGATCCCTGAGATCCCGGTTAAGGGTTCCCTGAAATTCCGGAGAGCGTCTCGAATTGGGCCCGAGGGAGGAATGCGGTGGCTCGTGAGGCCCATCTTCCCCTTCCCCCCTTCTTTTTAAGCAATTCGGGAGCTACCGCAGGATGATACGTAGATCGAGTGTAATAAACTGTAAATAGCGCATAAGGGCGAGGCGACGAGCGACTAACTTAACCCACGTAGACGCGGGGCCCGGCGTCCCGGCGCCGGGCCCGACTAGGAGTCCCGAGGATTATTAATTTAAAAAAGCAATAGAGGGTTCACGCCCGACACCTGTGTATATATAACGTCCGGTAGGTAGTCTAGCTGCGATAGGAACCAAGGAAAGGGCCCTGGAAAGGGCCCCCCGAGGACGTCGAGATCGGGCCCCTGGGACCTCGTCCTCGAAGTCGTCCCGAGGGGGGCCCCTCTCGTCGAGGGCGGTACCTAACCGTAATATCCCATTTAAAAAAAATATATATATTAATTTATTCTCAATTCATCTCGTGTCGCTTTTCTCTTCCCAGTCCCCCCTCTCTCTCCTGAGGCCCAGGCTGGCCCATTTTAGTCATCGGCGTGAAGACATGGACCAGGAAGACCGAAGACTGGAAGAAGGTAACCGCGAGCTGCTCTCGGTCGATTTACTCCGCGGCGAGTTTCTTTTTCGCGGCCCGTTTGGGGCCTTACGGGCCCTAGAGCGAGAGGAAGTAGGCCCCGACGGAAGTCGCGGGGTGAAACGGCGACAACGTCCGCGGACAATGACTCGCCGCTCGTAATTTACGTCCCGGGGGACGATTGCGATTGCTCGGGCTCGCCGGGGCCTTAGGTTTACGAACGACAAAAGGCCCATTGTGTCTGGCTGGGTGAAAGAGTCGCGGCAATATTTAACCAGGTATACGGCCGCGGTGAGGGGTCAGGGGAGACTGCCACGAGGAAGAGAGAACTCAATTACTCGAGGGGGCCCCGAGGATATCCCGAGACGTCTCACTCCTCGCGTTGCACGCTCGAGAAAAGGCCCCTCTTTTTGTCACCTCGCCGAGCGGCGGCGCCGTTTGATCATGCCCCTCTCCGAGGAAGAGGTCCCCGAATTTCGAGAAGTTCGATCTGGACTTCCGAAAATGTATTTATCCGCGGAGGTTTTCACAGAGGGGCATCACGAGGGGCCTCCACCGAGCGGGAGAAAACGAGGCAGGGCCACCAAGCAGGTGTCGACGAGTAAAGTGGGCCCGGGCCCCGAAATTGGGATCGCTCCTCTTTTCCTCTCTTTGGTGGGGATTTGCCGATTTTCAGGGTTCCGACTCGGTGGCGACGAACGAACGGAGGGCCGCCCCCGGATCGGGGCCCCATAAATCGAGACGTTTATTAATACATCCATGGGGGGACGATCGACGGGGCAGGTGTGGGCCCCGGACAGCTCGCGAATTATCCCGAATAATTTACACGACGTTTAAACCTCCCCGGCAGTTTCCGCGAGATCCCGCCGAGCGATGGGGTCCCGCACCTTCGGGGGACAGGTGAAGTCGGAAGCGTGGAAGAGGCCCCTCGGAAACCGAGTAAGGCCCCAGGATAAGGTTGGACAGCGTCGAGCCACGTTGTCCCGGATCTGCGAAGAATTGGCGCAAGGTTTCTCCAGGACATCCCGACCAATCGGAGGAATTTTTACTGGCCCCAAGGCCCAAGATGTGGGCCCGAAAGAGGCCCAGAAGAGGATCTTCGCGGGCAAGGTGTAAGGCCGATCCAGTCCGATATCCAACAGATCAGTGGGCAGATGCCTCGCCGGTTATTACACGGGGTCGGAGGTCGATCGCTCGCATAAACCATTTAGGGCCGATCGCCTATCGATACCGATATTTCCCAGAGGTATCGACTATCTGCGCGGTCGATCTGGACGTCCGAGGGGGCGCCCTCCGCTCGGGACCCACCCACGCGTCCGGAGCCCGATTAAACGCCGGCCCCGGTTTTCGGGCCCCCTCAAGCTTTCGAGGCCCGGGAAGGGGAGGGCCCAACCGCCGGGCCCCGATCGCTCCCCGATACTCATTTAATTACCTTTAATTGCCTCGCTCAATTTCACACTACCTTCCGAATACCGCTTTCCGCCGTTACGGCGGCCCTCTCCGGAGAGCTTTCGCACGGGAAAGGAGAAAGTATGGCGATTCGATCGGAATGTAATAAAAACTTATGACACGTGGCGGCCGGCCCCGCGTCCCGGCTGTTTAGGCGTCGCCATGAGAACGGCGGCCATGACGGGTGACGCGGGCGCGATCTCCATGGCAACGGCGTCCATAGAGACGGCGTCCCTAGCAACCGTCGCGCAGGTGCGCGGACACATTCCCGGGCACGTCGGGATTAGTTTTTACGCCGTGCAAAGCGATTTCTACGCAAATTTAACACGAGACAAGGGTCTGGGAACACCCGAAGGACCCAAACTACGACGGGGGAATTAAAATAAAGGGATAAAAGTGGCGCGATCCGTCCAAGTATCTCCGAGTAAGAGCGAGGTCGGTTTTCGGGCAAAAAGGAAGAAGCATCGAGGGAGCCGAGGGGCGAGGCGAGGATAACGTCTCGGTAGAGTATCCATGAGCTCGGTGAAGGGAAAAGAGAGAACGAGGAGGGGTTCCTATCTGTACGCGCGGTACATCCATTTATGTACATACATAATGCGGCGTGCGCCAAGAGACCGCCCGATTTTATGGGGTCTCCAGATATTGAAAGCCTCTCCCTCGCTCTCTCTGTCTCCCGGTCCCGTGTTCCTGGGCGGAGATGCGAGATAAAAAATTAATAGCCGCTTTTGGCATCGGCCCTGCCCCGGACCGGCTTAACTGGCGGGAACAAATTTTATTACGGAATTTTATTCCGCGCACTGGCCAAGATTCGAGATAGGCCACGAAAAGAGGAGGCGCTGGACGCGTACGGGGACGACCTCGAGGAGTCGTTCATCTTATGGGGAATTAACCGAATTACCCTGCTTTTCCGAATTCCCTTTCCGGGCCTCTCGAGCCCCGTGCCCCCCCGGGTCGAAATAAGCATCTCCTTGGATCAGGGTCGAGGTTATCCCCCGGTCGGTCGGCAAGGCAGAGCTCTGCCCCGGCTCGCGGTCAATATCGGCGATAACTATCTCGAGACGCTCCGAGCGTCGGCCGAGGCAGATATACCCACGCCGCGACGGTGGTGGTGGTGGTGGTAGATGGTGCATGGTGCATGGTACTTTGATGGCGGCCAGCCAGAAGTAAATCTAAGGTTTACGAGGCAGTACCGCCTCTTACTAGCACCTCCTCGAGCACTGCCCAGTCCTCTCCGAGGGGGCGCCGTATACGCGGCGCACCACTCTCATAATTCTCATAATAAATCGCCTCGAACAACTGACGCCCGGCCGTAACCCTATGTAGGGTACGTATGGTACCTAGGGTATGTAGGGTATGTACGGGGAGTACACGGTGCCCCGTGCCGCAGGCCAACCCGAAAACTCGAGGGGACTCCGCGGTGCCCCCCAGATCTACTTGGAGTTCCCTTTTATGGGAATTTCCGAAGGATCTCTCCCCCCATATTGCGGGGGTTACGTTCAAAGGATGCATCCCGGGAGAGACAGTGATATATATTCCAGTCTCGAGATCTTAGTTCGTCGATACCGAGACGAGACTCGCGAGGCCCCTTATCGACGCCATCGGCGCCGTCGATAGCGCGTCCCGCGATCCCCATCGGGCCCCTCTAGGGGCCCTAGGGGGGCCCGAACGCGTGGTCGAGTCGCGGGGCCCTGTAATATAGTTATTACCGTCGCCGTCGGGGGCTGCACTTATTCTCGGGCCCGGGCCCCGTATCGGGGACCGATTTTTCACCCTCTCCGCGGAAACGCGAGCGGCCTTAGTGCGGGGCCCCCTCGGGCCCCGTCGACGAGGGAGCGGAAAATTCGACAACGGAACGCCGTAATAAGCGCTATCGGGCCCATCGACGCCGGGCCCTCCGATTTATCCCCGTCGGAGAGGGTCCCAACTCGAGACGGGCATAGTTCGAGCGCGTGGTCGTGGGGCCCGATGTAATATAGTTATTACCGCGGCTGACCAGGATAGGGGGGAGGGGGCGAGCTTAGGCGCGGGCCCCGGGGTCCGAAGAAAGCGACGAACCCCGCATTAAAAACCAATTTTTGGCCCCGAAAAAACCTCCGCTCGCATCCTAATAACAGGCCCGGTAATCTATAGTAGGTTTTCTGTCCTGGCTGCGGGACCGACCTACCGGGGGCCCCCCCGAAAACTCGTCCCTCGGTCGGGCCCCGGGGGCCCCTCTCTCTCCCTCTCGAAAGGAGAGCTTCGAGAGGATAATCGAGCAAATTGATGCCTCCGGCTTCGGAGGACCGGGACTTTTTTCAATTAAAATGGCCAGGATCCCCAGGAACAGCTGTCAAACGGGCCCCTCGTCGCCCCGGAACGGCCACTTTTCCGCCCGCTCGGCGGGCCCCGTGTTTAGCGAGACAAAAATTACGAAACTCGGTCCCACTTGCGGTCCCCGATGCGTCTTCCGTCCCGCCGTGAATTTAGCACTTTTCCGGGCAAATTCCTGGAGGGGGGGGCCCAATAATCTGATGAAAATCATCTCTCCCCTAGTTGGGCCCAAAATCCAGGGCTGCGAGACAGTTTCCACCTCCGTAAAAGATTCCGCGCACGAGATTCCGCAGCGGAGCGACGCGAGGGGCCCTTCTCGGAACCGGGCCCGATTT